AGCCCCGGCCTTCCCCTCCCCCGTGGAAAGCAGAGAGGAGGCGCGGTCCGTGTTGGTTTCTTTATTAATTCATAGTCCGATAGCTGGTGTACAGGGAAATGATCTATACATCAGGGGCTAAGACAGGGAGATCCAAAAGGCTTATTTCCATAACAATTAAAAAAAGGAAATAAAAGTAATTTTTAAAACTTCTAAAAAGCTTCTAGTGTGCAGACTGCAGCATTCTCTAGGCTCGATGCCGGGCGCAGCCTCCCCCTACCAGCCCTACGAGCAATCCGAGCGCGAAGCAATGTCACTGCCGGTGCCTGGCGCGGTCGCAGCACAGCACATGCCCTATGGCGGATACACGGCCAAAGCACGGGACCCAGACACAACTCTATGGTGATGCTACGGCGTCAGCTGTCGCAGTGGGGCTGGGGAGGTCATTGTACACAGCGGGGGCGATGGAGGGAGCGTCTGTGCCAGTATGGCTCCACTTCGGGATGGGGAAGGGGCTGCTTTGCTTTCCAAGGCTAACCTGGGCAATTTGCTCCACTGCAGCCAGGCTTTCTCCCACTGCAGGGGGGAGACACAACTCTATGGTGATGCTACGGCGTCAGCTGTCGCAGTGGGGCTGGGGAGGTCATTGTACACAGCGGGGGCGATGGAGGGAGCGTCTGTGCCAGTATGGCTCCACTTCGGGATGGGGAAGGGGCTGCTTTGCTTTCCAAGGCTAACCTGGGCAATTTGCTCCACTGCAGCCAGGCTTTCTCCCACTGCAGGGGGGCCAGGGCTTTCCCAGCAGATGCACCCACTGCGAGAGAGGGCTGCCCTGCTGGGGCCACCAGCACGTGGCCCAAAGCTGGAGGTAGCCACAGAGAGCAAACGCAGGCCCTGCGAACCAGGTCCATGGCAAAGACCAAGGGGTCCCGACAGCACTGTGCTACAAAGACTGGGTCCCCCTGTTGGTTAGGTAAAGGACAGGGTCAGGGACATGGGACCTACCTCCACTACCTGCCTCCAGCCCTCCTGGGGCCAAGTATTGCCAGGGAGTCACCCCTCTGCGCACCTCAGCCGTGCCGGGGCAGCTCTGCCCATCACCGCTTCCTGCGGGAGCAGTGGCCCCGGGGGGGCTGCCCTGGCCCCCGGGGGCGCTGCCCTGCCTCTCACCTGGCCAAAGTGCAGCCAGCACGGAGCAGTCCCCCACATCTCTGGGGTTGGTCCTGGAGGGTCCTTGGAGGCACCAGGCTGTCCTCATTTGTGCCCCTGCAGGGAGGCCAGGGGCCCCTGCAGAGCCCTTGCACGGGGTGCGTGGTGCAGGGCTGCTGGCTGCTGCCAGCTCCCGGCTCCTCTCCTGAGCAGAAATTGTGCTGAGTAGAGCTGGCACAGCCCCGTGTGTGGCACAAGCGTCCCCTGCTCTGCCTCACTACATATCCTCCTGGACCCCAAGCACCTCAGACCTTTCTTCAGGTCAAGAGGGGCCTGGGCTGAGCCGGAGGGCACAGGGCAGGGGCACTCTGCTGCCCTGTTACTGCTACAGCCTCCGGCTCCCTTCACCAGAGCCACCCACGTACTCCTAAGGTGGTGCCCGTCCTGCAGCCTGAGGAGGTATTTGGGAGCAGAGCTGTTAGTGCTTTGTACATACTGCTGAGTGTCCCTAGGGGTTTGCATAGTATTTATTGTTCATATACACAAGGCTGATTGCTGTACAGTTTACACTTTCAACACAAGCAACGAGCTCAGTGCTCAGCCCAGAGCCCTGCCCTGACAGGAGCCCTCGCTCGTGCTGGGGGGAGGAGGGGCAGCCCCGCACCAGCCCCTGCCCAGAGCAGTTGTGCTCCCTGCACCCCCTCTCGCACCCCTCCTGCCCTCCCCAAAACCCAGCACTCACTGAGAGGGACGAGAGGCGAGTCCAGCAGAGGCAGCACAGGCGATGTGGGGTCAAGCCCCTCTCCTTCCATGGCGAGCAGCGCTGTGCTGCCATGGCTTCTTTCTTGCAGCCGGAGCACGGGCGTGGGGATGCATTTACACAGGTGAGGGTGGAGTTTCCTTCCCTCTGGTTTTCTACCGGTTCAGCTCTTGCCTCCCAGAGGAGCTGAGAGGATGCCCCGGTGCGTGCTGCTGTCTCTGGGCTCCTGGCAGCAGCGGGGCAGGGACGGAGGCCCCTCCGTCAGTTTTAAGTACTGTAGCTCATGCGTCTTGCAGTCAGTCAGTCATGCGGATAGGACGGTAAGTATGTCTCATACAGAAATCATGCCATTAGCCTATAGAAACATGTACAGCCAGCCCTGCTCCCCTCCACTCTCTGCTTTCCTCTCCTCTCTTCTCAGGTATGTGTCAGAACATGTGTGGAGTTCAGTGGTTTGGTGTTGAGGTGAGATCCTGGGGAGACAGACAGACAGAGATGGGGTTACTAGGCATCCACGGTGGCACAGACAGGAGAAAGGCTGGGCCAGCCCCTCCTGTGCTTGTCCCACATGCACCCATCCTGCCTAGCCACCACAAGACAAGTTTTGGTGGGTGTCAGAGAGACAGCGACAGAGCTCCACCGTGGGGGCGAGAGGGAGGACAGACGGACACAGCCATGCACGTACAGCAGAGGCCAGAGCACCGACCCTGCTCCCAGTCTCCCCCCGGTGCAGGCAGTGCCTGGCAGCTGGGAGCACGCAGGGAAGAGCAGCACAGCAGGGTCCAAGCGTGCTGTGCCAAGCACCCTGCCCAGAGCCTGGTCAGGGTGGGCAGCGGGAGCAGGGGATGCACAAGCCTCAAGGGATGATCCAGTGCTCACACTGGTGATCAACGGAAGGAATGTCCCAGGCCAAAGACGGGTCCCCTGCCCTCAACAAGCATCATGTTCCTGCACCCCGCCACTCCTGCATCCCTGGAGCCCACCAGTAGCACCCGGCTGCCCCCCAGGCTCCAAGGGCTGCTGCGCCCAAGGCTGCAGTCAGCGCTCATGCGTGAAGGGCACAGCTCTGCTCAGACCCCACGAAAACGCTATCCACTCCCTGGAACAGTTTTGGACAAAATCACCCCTCTGCTGTAGCTCAGCATAACCAGAGAAACAACCCTGTGGCCGTGTCAGTGGGGACCATCCCCCTGATCACTCAGGGTGCTGTGACGGCAGCAGCAGCTCCTGCACTGGGACCATGCCGCTGCCCACCCTCTGCATTTTGCTGCAGCACAGCAAGCCCTCTCTGCAGGCCAAGAGCCAGGCACAGCCCTGTCACGCTGTCCCCAGGAGGACGAGTGTGACCAGCAGCTCAGTGCAGGCAGCAGCGTGTGGAGCTGGGCAGAAGGAAGAGCAAAGGTGGGGTTACCTCAAAAGAGGCCATTTGAGGGGTCACTGCTTCCCCCTTTTCAGGCTGGCTCGTTTCACTATCTGAGCCCCCATCCTGCCCCCGGAGACCTCTGGTTTCGGGACACGCACTCGCACCTCCTCCTGAGGAAGCGGCAGGGGCAGGAAGCAGGACATCACCCAGGCGAACAGACAGACATACAGAAGAGGACAGGAGATGGAAAGGCAGAGTCAGTTGGCAGAAGACATTGAGCAGGAAGACCGGTGCAGTGGGCAAGAGCTGCCCCAGGAAGCCTTAGAGGGGAAACAGGAGAGGAGAGCAGAAGGAAGGACAGAGGGTGGTGGAGCCCCGGAGCCGGCGCTGGCCCTGGGCAGGGCTATGAACCACACTGTACCTTGGCCCCCAGACCGTCCCGGTGCAGGATGGAGTATTTCATGAAGTGATCGTCCTCAACCTCCAGGTCTTGGGGCTCCTGCACGGAGCCCTCCAGAATCAGCTGCTCCTGCTCCTGCCTGTCCGTGTCACCAGGGCCCAGGTGACGCACAACCTTCCGGATGACCTGCGGAGACCCGCACAGCGGCATCACAGTGAGCCCAGGGCACCAGTTTCCCTCCTGGCCCTGGCTGGCCCTGGACTGCACGTGGCACGCAGCCTGTCCCATGTGCAAGGTCTGGCTGAGGAAGTGCCATGACCGTAACCGAAGACGTGGGACGCGGGTGCCCTGCAGGGGCCCCAGGGCCGCAGGGAGGAGCAGGGCAGCTGGGCAGAGGGAGAGGAGAAAGGCTGCGCCATGCCCTTGATCACTCACCTTCTTGGTGACAATATTGCCTTGATCATCTGTGAACTGCTCCTCAGTCACCTGCTCTCCAGGGAGATGAAGGACTTCGTTCCCCTGCAGCGATAGAAGGGACATCAGGGCATTTCGGGGGAGCGAGGGGAGCCCCTGACATGCACCCCACAGCCTGCATCTCCCACCCTGCCCCATCCCTCCACTGCTCTCCTCCTCATCTGTCCCAGAGCTGGTCTCTCAGCCCCCTGCTCATTACCTTCACGAGGACACGCCGGCGGACGACCCTGGTGGAGAGAGTCTCCTCAGCCCCTGGCTCTCCCCGAGCTCCTTGTCCAGCTCGCGGTGGGCGTGTTTGAGCAGGAAGCGGACAGAGCCCCTGACGATGTGCATGACGTTCTGGCAGCTGACCAGGAAGAAGGCCAGCAGCACCAGGGCGACCAGCAACTGGGCCAGGAAAGCCCACATCCCGCCTCAGCGCACGCAGACGCACGCGTCCCCAGGGGTCCGAACCCACTGCTCAGGGCCCGGCCATGCTATGCGGCTGGGACGGGCAAAGCCCCCAGGGCAGGAGCAGCCCTGTGGGTCTGCAGCCTGCCCGGTGCGGTCCCGGCTCTGCGGGAGGGTGGCTCTGCGGTCCCGGCTCTGCGGTGTAACCCTAGCTGCCGGCTGTGGGCGGCGAGAAGGGAGCGGGCAGGTGGGGGGGCCTTTGCGATCGCAGCTTCTGTCAAAGTCATGGGGCCAGGACTGTGACAGCACCACCCGTCCCCAGCCAGGCACTAATGGGGACAGTCCTGTCCCCGTTTTCCACCAGCTCGTCAACAGCCCATCCTGGCTGCGGGGCTCTGCGGTGTAACCCTAGCTGCCGGCTGTGGGCGGCGAGAAGGGAGCGGGCAGGTGGGGGGGCCTTTGCGATCGCAGCTTCTGTCAAAGTCATGGGGCCAGGACTGTGACAGCACCACCCGTCCCCAGCCAGGCACTAATGGGGACAGTCCTGTCCCCGTTTTCCACCAGCTCGTCAACAGCCCATCCTGGCTGCGGCGGGGGGATTTGGGAGATGTGCACCACAGAGCTGAGCATGGCTGTGCTGCCGGGGTGGCTGCATGTGCCCTGACCAGGGAAAGGTGCTCACCCTCACCTCATACCTGCCAGCTCGTGTGGCCACAGCAGGATGCCCCCACCCCGCTGGCCCCCAGACCAGCTCTAATTCTGGCCCCAGCAGGCTGTTGGGCTGGTGGCCAGGGAAGATACTCGATAAGGAAGTGGGAAGGGAGGCTGGCTGGGTTATAAATGGAGAGCCAGCACTCAGGTATCAGGCACAGCTGGCTATTTTGGGCTGAGGCACCCCCAGGGGCAGTGGCAGGGAACGTGCCCAG